CGATGCTTTTTATGCCGACTTCGGACTGATCCATAATAGCAGTAAGCTATTAGTGGCTCTATTAACATTCGGACTGTCTCATTTTTCTAACCAAACCCTTTTCGCTCTGGTCCTGCATTTTGCAAAAATAATAAAAAGATGGCTGCGTGATTGTGTACGGATCACTTGCTCATTAACACACACAGGTCTGTGGCAGGTGGACCTGTGATTAGAGCTAAAGTTATCTATTTGGATCGAATGAGGTGGAGAGAAATTACAAAAGAAGGGCAGAGAAACTGCGAGAAATAAACTTGCTGTTCAAGCAAACACCGTGAAATGCACCAAAATGACAGTCAACTGAGTAAGAATGAGAAGAGCAGAAAGTTAAGTTATCCAGTAGCTGTACTATTATACAAATAGGTAGTAAGAAAAACAATCATTCATAGTAAAAAAAAAAATCTTGTTAAAAAGGCTCAAATACTGAGTAAATGTTTGATCATTAAAGCTTACTTCATTTGTTAAACATCAATCAAATAAACATGTAAATTGCTTATGCCTGTTAATGTGTTATATTGCTTAATAAAGTGGCTTCATTAGTTGCACAGTTGGGACACACATTCTAGAGGCAAACACAGATCTCTGTTACTGAATGTGATTGGCTACTCTGGTTCAAAATGCCTGGGACCATTTATTTTGTCTCAATCCACCCCGATCAATGCCACAGTGTTTAAGATTGGCACACACACACACACACACACACACACACACACACGCACGCGCGCGTCAGGTACTTTTTTTTGTTAAAGTTGATCAAATTGATCTCTTTTGTGAAATATTCTGCATCAGATTATTATTGTTATTGTTATTATATCAATCTGTTTATTGCATGTTTACACTGTTAGACTTTGCTGGCATTTGCTAGTATATTACTGTTAAATCAACAGTAAAATACCTCTAAAAGTGTTTGCAGTGTAGTACTGTAATTTCCATGCACTGTTAGACTGTGCTGTCATTCCTATAGTATATTACTGTAAAATCAACAGTAAAATACAGCTAAAATCTCTGCAGTGTAGTACTGTAATTTCCATGCACTGTTAGACTGTGCTGTCATTCCTATAGTTTATTACTGTAAAATCAAAAGGAAAATACAGCTAAAATCTTAGCAGTGTAGTACTGTATTTGGAATGTAATGGTGAGTAAATTCAACAACATCACATATTTTTCATGGTATGTCACTGTTTTAAAGAAATCAGGTAAAGTACAGCAAATATAAAAATTTGGTATACCTCTGACATTTTTCTGTCTGTGGTTTTTTGTGGACATTTTAAAATACCTTGCTCAAATCTTCATTCAGAGTGCATTACCAAAACAATTCTTTGTGAGATCACCAATGAAAAAACACTATGCCCCATAGTAAAGAGAAAATGCTCCAAGAATAAATGTTTTAATTGAGCTATTATAAAAGCATACAGTATGTAAACACTCACTAAAATCTCTTTAAAATATTTTAATTATAATATAAAAAAAGATTGGATGCTTTAACCAAGCCTACATTGTAAATAAAAAAATCATCTCAGATTGATAAAATCATATTTAAGCTAATCTATTAGTCCTACTGCCTAAATGACAGTAAATGACATCTGCCTGGGGGGCGATTTAAACCGATAAATGTTAACAGAATTTTATCAAAAAACTGACATGATACCAGTTTACGACTTTATAACTGTAAGAAATTTAATGTAAAATATTCCATAAAATATTGATCATTTCAAAATTCCATCAGTTGTTTTTTTTTTTTTTGCATGTTTTCAAAGCAATATTATAGGATAATTACAGCCACCAAAATTATGCTGTTGTCTATCTATTGTGTTCACTATAGATGTAACAAAAAATTCAGACAGCTATAGATGGAATCTTAAGGAAATGGGCCAAGGAAGAACTCATCAAAGGTATTTTCCACCCCTAGGTATGTTTTATGTTGTTGGGCTTCCCAGAATTAGATAAGTGAAAAATAATTCATCACTTTCACCTGATACAACCTGGATATTTGCTTTCAAAACAACAACATTGGAAACACAATATATGATCGTTGTCTTGCACTTTTAGGAAAAGAAGAAAGAAAAACATTTTCCAAACGCGTATCCCGAATGTGACCCATTACAGGGGAGTTGGTCAGTCTGGTAAGTATTTTACTGCATGTTTTGGCTTTTAAACTAGCTATAGCTGTGATCTTCATGCAAATTCTGCAAAATGGTCCCTGTCCATAAATGTGTAAACACCTTATTGAAGTTACCTGAATGTTTTAAAAACTGACAAACAAGGTGATTAATTTTCAGCTGCTACCCATGCAAAGTAATGTGATGCTTAAAACCAAATTTGTTAAGATCTACAAACAATGCATAATCTATTTTTCAATTGTCAGCATGTGATTGTATTTTGGACTGATAGCCAAAGCTAGATTTTAATTAAAATATCTGATGTTTTCTTTTTGTAAATATTCTATGTAAATAATTTATTTATTCATGTAATTGGAAAAAAGTTCTCTGTTTATCCTTTTCTTTAATAACTTTTCCTTATATTTTTAGTCACTCAAGCACATCTCAGATATGAATAAGAAAACTGCTTGTGCCAAAATGTTTCTGCTACTTATTGTTTTGCTCTTGATCATTTTTTCTTTTTCTTTTTTTTCTTTTCAAAAGTAAAAGGATTTGCTTCACATTTTCTGTAATGGAGACTGCTATCAAAGTCAGTTTGTTTCCTTGACTTCTCTTGTGTATGACATCTGTTTTCAATAAAGTTAGGAGCAAAAAAAAACAAATGCTAATTTGGCAGTAAGTGTTTGCAGGTGAAGGCTGCTGGCAGTGCATGCTGTGATATGCAGAACAGGTTAGAGAGGTTTAACTCTGATATTGAGGTCAAATAATTTTCCTTTTTGTGGCCAGTGTGAAAGCTATACTACTTTCCATTTTTTGAGGGTATGTTACATTTTAGGCATATTTGAGCCTTTTATGACTATTTAGACTACTGTTAAGGTACTGTTTAGTTTTCTATGCATTTTTGTTGTATTGCTTAAAATATTCCTGGAAAAGAAACTATTGAAGATATAGGGTACTTAAAATGTTTCTCTGTAAATATTGTACATTCCGTGCACACAAATTTATATTGTTCAGTTCACATGTTAGAAGCCATAAACACAATGCAAATTATATGTTTTCTTGTGGAATTGAGAATTGTAAAGCCACTTTGAAAACATTCACTGCCTTTCGTTCCCATATGCACAGAAATCATAGACGAGGGGAGAACACTGAGGAGGAGAGCTGGAAGTTCACTGGAAATCTTAGCTGACAAGTTCCTGGATGTGGGTATGTTGGACAAAATATTAAAACTCTTTGTGTCCATCTGAGGATCCATATTAAAGATGGAAAAAAAAGTATTGTGCCAGGGCAAATATTTCCACCTACAATTCAAATCATTGGAGAAGTGAATGATTATAGACATCATCTTTACAACTCTGCCACTCAGGATGCTGTGACAAAAGCAGATGTCTCTAATCATAACGTGCTAGATGTGTCTGCAGTTGTCTACAAAGGTACCAAATATGTCAAAGGTCATGTTGTTGTAGTAGTTCACACTAATGAGAGCACTGAGTTTGGGAAGATAGTTGTGATACTTGTTAATGATTCTAAATTGTACTTTGTGCTAGAATTGCATCAGTCAGTACGCCTTATTGACCTTGGACTTGATTGCCTACACTGCCCTACAGACAGAAGTTTGTGTGTAAATGCTGACAGTCTGATGGATTATTACCCAATACCCCTTTATAACATGACAGATCTTTTTGTTGTTTCCCTGCACCATTCAGTTTCTTCACGATTTTTTCCCCTTATATTTCAGTGATGGAAATTGAAGATGAAATCACATGCATCCTGCCGGAATTGGAGAGACAGAAAGTACTGCCCATTGCAGACCACCTGAAAGATGTCATTGGTGTCCAACAAAAAAGTGACCTTCTGTTAGTAGAGGCAGATGATAGCAAACATTTTCTTACACCAATTCAAATACGTAAACTACTACTTGCATTTAAGAAAGGTTTGTAGACATTTTGTATACATCTGACTATTTATCAGCTGTAGGTCACACAGGTCACTGATTCATTTCTTTTTTACATTATGTCCATCAGTTGCCAATTTCTTCTCACTATACCATTCTGGATGTTTAACTACAAAGCATTTTATTGAAGAGACTTTTACCGGCTATTGGTATGTTTTTCTGTTTTAATGGAAGCAATCAAATAAAAAAAGATAATCCAGTGCATTTTGTTTACATCTTGATCTTAAATATATCCAACTATTACACAAACAAGTGTGCAGGTGTGTGTGTGTGTGTGTGTGTGTGCACGCACAAGTATAAACCTTTTATTTTGGGAGCCTTTATTGTATTACAGTATGTTACCGTTTACTCGTATCTTAGTAAAAGATTACATGAAAAAGGTAAATTACTGCCCACAAAAACACAGTAACCTCTGAGAGCGTTGACTATTTTCAGTAGCAAAAGTGTATGTTTACGGTAAATCACTGGAAAAGGTATTGCAGCATACCTTGAAATGAGCTTACGGTAACATACCATAAACATACAGCACAACACATATTTATTAATCATGGTATAATGTTGCGTTATTGATGTAATTTTCTTGTGAAATATATTACGGTATTTTACTGCCAACACTGTTGCCGGTGAGATACTGGCAACAGTGTTGCCAGTATCTCACCGGCATGCAGTCAGAGGGTTTTTTACAGCAATAAAATATACGGTATAATTCTGGGATCAACACTAAGTGGTAAGTTACCGTTAACCATGCATCACGGTATCATGCTGGCAACAGTGTTGCCAGTTTATTACCGTAAAGTGGATAGGTAAAGTCTAACAGTGTAGACCTTGATTGTGCAATTCAGAAATTCAGCAGTATTTTTTATATAAATATATTGTGTTAAAATTTTATATACTTTTTTGTTTCGTTACAGGCAACAGTTCCAGACCGAAATTTCACTGTGTACCTAAATTACATGAAAGGTATGCTGTAAATCTTTTGGTGTTCTGAAGACACTGTCATTTTTAGATTTTAGTGGTATTACAAAATATATATAAAAAAAATCCTAAAAATGACATTTTGCAACATATGTTCCAAGATGTGCAGTAATGTGTTTACTTATGTAAGGCACATGCGAAAGCATTGTTGCATGTCAAATGTGGTGTTCAAGTGTGGTGTTTCTGGGTTCAGCAGGTTTTTTAGTAAATTTTCATCTTTTAAGTGTCACATTTATCGCCATAAAGATGCACACAAGAATGCTACTGGAAGTGAAACAGACTTCAAATGTCATGTGGGGATCTGTAATGCTAGATTTGTTGATATGAGGAGTCTTTTGGCCCATCTTAAAATCCATATGAGAGAGGGAAGATCAGTTCGATGCCCTTTCAAAAACTGCACAAAACATTTTACGGTCAAGTCAACATTTACATCACATTTGTCAAGAAAGCATAAAAATGTTTCTGAAAACAGTCCATCAATGTCAGGAGGCTTAACAGATCATTGTAGCTCTTATGATGATGCACAAGATGGAGCTTGTAATTTGGAGCCAGATCCTTTAAGTTGCTTCAGTAATGAACAGGAGATCTATCCAGAGAAAACAGAAAAAGATCTGTTTTTAAGACAGTTGGCTTTGTTTTATTTGAAATTACAAGCCAAGCTACTTATTCCATCTTCTGCCATAAATACTATTATTGAAGACTATTGGGAAATGCATGCAATGAATCAGTCACATTTGCTATTCCATCTCAAGGAAAAGCTACTTACTCTTGGACTCTCAGAAACACAAATAGAAGATGTGATTGGCATTTTAAGAGAGGAGGATATATTCAGAGCTTGCAATACTGCAGCACTCCACACAGATCACCGTAGGAAAACAGTTTTTAAAAACTGCTTCAATTATGTTGACCCACTGTCCATCTGTCTTGGTCAAAATGAGTCTGGAATGGAATGCTTTGCACAGTATGTGCCTTTGAAGAAGACCATAGAGTCCCTATTTCAGTGTAAATCAGTGATGGACTACCATAAACTAACAAAAACCATCAAAAGAAATGAAGATGTTTTTCAGGATGTTTGGGATGGCACAAATATGGTTGAAAACATACTGTCCAGGGATGCAGAATACTCATTGGGTGTAATACTTTATCAGGATTCGTTTGAGGTAGTGAATCCTCTTGGCTCTGGGAAAAAGAAGCACAAGATTTTAGCAGTTTATATGACTCTTGCAAATATTCTACCACACAACAGATCTAGCATAGATCAAATGCAACTTGTGCTACTTTGTCGAGAGCAAGATTTTAAGTATTTTGGACAGGATCTTGTGTTTGGGCATCTTCTTAAAGATCTCAAAGATCTTGAAGTAACTGGCGTTACGTTGCCTGATGGTAAGATTACTAAAGGAACACTGTGTGCCATTGCAGGTGACAATTTAGGTTCACACAGTATTGGGGGCTTTGTGGAAAGCTTTTCCAGGACTATATATTTTTGTCGGTATTGTGAGATTGATCGAAAAACATTTCTGACTGATCCTCTTGCCAAAGGCCCAGACCGCACTGAAGAGTCATACAAAGTAAATGTTCTGGCCAACACAGACAATGTTGGGGCAAGTGAAGGTAAAGGTGTCAAATTTGACTCAATCTTCAACGAGCTTGCTCACTTTCATGTTTGTCAGCCAGGATTACCCCCCTGCCTTGGCCATGACCTTTTTGAGGGCATTGTTTCATCAGATGTGGCATTGTTCATTAATCACCTCATAAAAAAAGAAAAACATTTCTCCTACCTTGAACTGAATCGGCGCATAAATGGATTCAAATATCCTGGTAATGATGCAAGTAACAAACCATGTGAAGTGAACCCAGGTGCTGGAAAACTATCAGGAAATGCAGTACAGAACTGGTGTTTTCTCAGGATGCTCCCTGTGTTGATTGGTGATAAAATAAACAATGAATCAGAAGTTGAAGTTTGGCAGCTAATTTTACAGCTGAGAGAGATTGTCAGTCTTGTTTGTGCTCCAAAGATAACTGCTGGTCAGATCACATACCTCCGTGTTCTGATTGAAGAGTATTTGCAAAGTAGGAAGGAAAGTTTTCAAGAACATCCACTGAAGCGCAAACATCACTATTTGTGTCATTATCCAGACCTCATTGTTAAGTTTGGGCCATTGATTCGTCTTTGGACTCTAAGGTTTGAAAGTAAGCACACTTATTTCAAACAGTGTGCAAGGAAGTTGCGCAACTTCAAACATATTTGCCAGAGTTTATCAGAAAGACATCAGCCTTTTCAAGCATTTCTCAGTGCTGGCAGTCTCTTTCCAGCTGATGTTGTTGTGGACAAAGGGACTGAGTATTTTGCAAGTGATTACAATGACAATATACAAAAGTCAGTTGAACATCTAGACCTGGATCAATCAAACACTTTGATTGCCAATGATGTAACAATGAAAAGAACAAAGTATTAGAGCAACATGTTTGTTGTAATTGGGCATAATGATGATGGATTATTAGTGGGAAAAATTAAGAAAATCATTGTTCATAAAAACTCAGTAGTTTATTTTATATGTCAGAAACACCAGGCTGTTCGGCTTCCTTTGATTGACTGTCATCAAACAAGTCCTGTGCCAAGTGCCTACTGCTGTATCAAATCAGATGAACTACTGGACTTTTACCCACTGCCAGAATATTTGGTGTGGGGTCTGTCTCTTCTAATTCTACACCACTCTGTTTCTGAGTTTTAGACAAATGTCATCATTACATGATGCTATAAAGGAGATAATCCTTAAGACCTTGCCCAGCCTTTGTGAAGACATCCAAGAAAGCATTATTTCCACACTTGAAAACTGTGGGGCTGAGTCTGTGGAAGACCTGAAGTATATCCAGCAAGATGACATCAAAGATCTGCTGCCTGTCATTCAACAACGCAAGTTGTTGGAGAAATTCAAACAAGGTAAAGAACCCACTAATATAAAAAGGAACATATTACAAATAATTAGATGTTTTATATTTAAATTGCATGTATTTTTATGATTTCAGAGACAGACATAGTCACACTAGACTTGGAGATTATTTCAAGTCCCTCAACTGTATCCCCTTTTTCAAGTCCTTCAACTTCCTCCACATCATCAGTTTCACTACACACTTCAGCAAAGCAACCACCTCATGTACCATGTCGATATGATGCACAAAATATATCCCAGTCTTGGCCAGAAACCTTCCAAGTCCCATGGGAAAAGATGCCACTGGAAATTCAGACAGCAATCTCAGAAGGCAAAAGACCCCCTCCTGACAAGAGGCGTCAAATGATAAGAATACTTGCTGATGAAGTGCAGAAGTACGAGGCTAATCCCACACGTTCACAATGCCTTACAATCTGCCAGAAGATATCCCGTCAATACCTAGATACCTTTGCAGATATGACACCAAGTGGAAAGGTCATTGCTGGAGGGTATAGTTCTCTACTCTCTCAACTCAAAACAAGACTCGAGAATGTCAACCGTTCTGGGAAATTTCGAAGATTCAGATCATCAGGACCCAGTGGAATGGCTGGAGTCAAACGGGGACCAACTGATACGTATGGATGTACAAGATTCCAGCCAGAACTTCCTCCAGAGGAAACTGATGACACAGTGGAAGAGAAACGTCAAAGATTACAGAGCACTCACAGCAAGTATGGCATTCACGGAGAGGATAGGCCTGAAGTGACTGATTTGATGAACACCACATTTAGCCTTCAGCGCAAACATATAAACAGGATCCCTGCCCCCTCCTTAGCTGATCTGCAAACCAGCTGGCCTTACCTGTTTACACAATGTGGAATCTTTTCTCACTTTGAGTTGCTGACTGATGTTGCCATCCTCCGTGCCTTGGAACTGTCAATTGAGGAGTGTGGTAATGCCATTGTGGAGTACTTCCGCACTAAAGTCAAGACTGCTGATGTCCAGAAAATCCTGGCACAAGAAGCAACTGATGATCTAACATTCCTTGTTGTCCAGCTTTTGATGGCTCACTTCAAGGAGTCCCCTGATGGGCTGATTCTGACTACTGATGTAGGCTTATTGCACATAAATATTATGAGCTTCGTCCATTTTTGTATATGCATACTGTCTTGCTAATATACACTTGTCCATGTTTTACAGGAGTTTGCAACGGCAGCGGATGTCGAAACCAGCCTAAGTTTGCCAGCCAGCCCTCGTCTGATTTTGCGTGAGTTCAGAACTGATTAGCACTATTCACATGTTTCGCTTAAAGTTGCTTAATATGTATATATGTAAAAAGAATATAAACACTTGTAAAAAAGGAGATCCAAAGGTACTTGCCTAACATAGTTAAAAAGCCTTTACTAGAATAAAATTGTCATGCTGACCTTAAATTAAGTTGTGATGTTTTAAAATATTGTGTGGATAAACATTTATGAGAGAAAATATAATAAAAACTTTCATCTTTGTCCACCACAGGTGGCAATGAGCAAAAACTGAGTGGGTGGATGGTCAGTGCTGAAGGCCATGTCATCTTTGAGGGGGTCCTGCCAACATTTTCAACAGGGCTTGCAGCGGTGTTTGCCACATTTTACATCTTCAACCTGCAATATCAAGATGAGGCAGCAAAGACTTTGGAGTTTGTGCAACGGTAAAATGATCCCCGTGAATTTATTTATTTTGAAAACACGGCGCTGTAGAGAAAAAACAGCAATGCCAAGATTTCAAAACTATCAATCTGGTCATAATCAAAAGTTGGCAAATTTGTTGATGGGGTTTCAATATATTCAAAGGGATGTTCCACCCCTAAGTGAAATTTGGTCTATTTCCATATTCCCCACAGTTGAATAAGTAAGAAAAAAGCAGTTAGTAACCAACGCAGTAATTCTCCTCATCTGGAAGCAGTCCATTTGCTTTAGCTTAGCATAAACAATGGAAGTGAATAGCAAAAGTTAGCATTTTGTGTGCAAATGTGATTAAATAATTCAATAATGATACCAATTATTCTTGGTGACCTCAATACTCATGTCGACTGCAAATAAAAACTAGGAAATAACACAAAGGACTTGCAGGAGCCGATTTAGACTTGGGACTACTTTTCGACAAAGCACCACTGTAACCACTGCTGAATGGCGCATGGATATAACACAGCGGTCAAAAATTACGTGTGATTTGCACAGTATTTTTTTTCGTAGTTTATTATACAGGTGTAATACAAGAAAAAGCCTTACTTATGTAGCAAAGGGATGTGAAAACGAGCCAAAGACATACAGCTGCAGGGTATTTCACGTTATTCCCACAGATGTTTGTTTACAGAAGCCAGAGGTTTTTTGGACCGCTGTGTTATATCCATACGCCATGCAGCAGCGGGTTACAGTGGTGCTTTGTCGTAATGTAGTTCCAAGTCTAAATCGGCTCCTGCAAATCCTTCGTGTTACTTTTTACTTTATATTTGCCGTTGACACGATTATTGAGCTCACCAGGAACAATTGACTATTTTTAATCACTTTTGCACACAAAATGCTAGTATCAGCCATTCACTGTTTATGCTAAGCTAAAGCAGACGTACTGCTGCCAGATCAGGAGAATTTCTGTGCTGGTTACTAAATGCTTTTTCTCACTTATCTCACGGTGGGGAAAATGGAAATAGACCAAATTTCACTTAGGGGTGGAATATCCCTTTAAAAGCAGGATAATTTCTCCAAAATACATTACATTCAGAAAGTATTCAGAGAACATCACTTTTCTCACATTTTGTTATATTACAGCCTTATACCAAAATAGACTAACCCCAAAATTCCACTATCTCCCCTCCGCTGCGCTCCGGCACGAACGTCGCAGCACAAACGGTCCCATTGTAGTCAATCAGAGCTGTTCCACTACTGCGGCCGTGTGGCACAGTGCGCCGCCCGCCGTTCCGCCATCCGGCAAAAATAGGATCGATTCTATTTTTGCCGGACGCCGGAGCACCTCCGAAGACATCAAAACAGAAAACATCAAAGGAAATGAGCCGACATGAACGATCGCGTGTTAAATTTGTTTTTGAGGTGGCGACAACTAATTTGATGTTACTGTGGCCATGCTCAGGACGCAGATGTCTGGAGCGCGTAAACGATCAGAGCTTTGCATGTGCACGCTGGTTAAGATTAGGATGGGGTGAGGGGAAGGTTAAATTGCAAGAGGGTAAACGTCACAATTTGGTTAAATGTCCGTTTTACGGCGGGCGTCAGTACTGACGCTCTGGCACAGCACGTTGCCTCCTGATGCACAGGGGCTCGTCACCTGCTGTCTTTTCCGAGGACTGCATCTTGTCGCTCATTATCACGTGACAGCGGCTTGTCGCTGAAAGGCATAAAAAGTCACAACAGAGCAGTGAAGTCGACTAGTCGACTAGTTCGTACAACCCCTAGTAGACACTAAAGAAAAGCTGTTAGATTAAGGTGTTAAAATAAAAATATGAACGCACAGCAAGGAGATAAGTTTTACTTTTCATCCCATCTCAAATCTTCCCTTTCTTTCAAACATCCTAGAAAAAAATATCTCTGTTCAACTCCATGCTCATCTCGCCCTCAATAGCCTCTATGAGCCCTTCCAGACTGGTTTTCGACCTGGCCACAGTACAGAAACTGCACTCATAAAAATCACTAACGACCTCCTCACTGCTGCCCATACTGGACTGCTCTCCATTCTCATCCTCCTTGACTTGAGTTCAGCCTTCGATACCATCTCTCACACCATCCTCCTCCATAGATTGTCTTTCCTTGGCATTTCTCATACCCTGCTTGATTGGTTCCGTTCATATCTCTCTGGCCGTACTCAGTTTATTCAACTCAAATCCTTCACTTCCCGTCCCTTCCCTGTCACTACTGGCGTCCCCCAAGGCTCTGTTCTCAGTCCACTCCTTTTCATCACTTACCTTCTTCCCCTGGGAAATATTTTCCATAAATTTGACATCCATTTTCATTGTTACGCGGATGACACCCAGCTCTATGTATCCTCCAAACCCTCCTCTTCACTTCCTCCTTCCTCCCTCACCAATTGTTTATCTGAAATCAAAGACTGGTTCACATCAAACTTTCTCAAACTCAACAGTGATAAAACAGAAATGTTACTTGTCGGCACTAAATCTTTACTATCAAAAATCCACAGCTTTACACTTCCTGTCGACAACTCCTTAGTTTCCCCCTCCCCTCAGGTCAAGGGTGTCATCCTCGACTCCTCACTGTCCTTCCAGCCCCACATAAACAATATTACCCGGTCTGCCTACTTCCATCTACGTAACACTAACCGCCTACGCCCCTCCCTCACTACTCACTCGGTCGCCATCCTTGTCCTCAGCCTCATCACTTCCCGTATTGACTACTGCAACTCTCTTCTCTCCGGTCTTCCTCACAAATCCCTCCATAAACTCCAACTTCTCCAAAACTCGGCAGCCCGCATCATTTCCAGAACTCCCTCCTTCCACCACATCACCCCTGTTCTTCAGCAGCTCCACTGGCTCCCAGTCACTTCCAGAATCCAATTCAAAATTCTGCTATGTACATTCAAAGGCATCCATAACCTAGCTCCCCCGTACCTCTCAGACCTCCTTCATCCTTCAACCTCCACCCGTTCCCTCAGGTCCTCCTCCTCCATCCACCTCTCTGTCCCACCTTTCCGTCTGGTCACTATGGGGAGCAGGGCCATCAGTCGCTCTGCTCCCCAGCTCTGGAACTCACTCCCTCCTGACCTCCGTAACATTGATTCCCTCACTCTCTTTAAAACCAGACTCAAAACCCACCTGTTCCGTCTAGCATTCCAATAGTTACTCTCTTTGCTCCTATCTGTCTGTTTGTTTTATGCTCTTCTATTTTTTATTGTTGTGTATTTTATCTCTGTCTGTAAAGTGTCCTTGAGTGTTTAGAAAGGCACTGTTGAAATAAAATGTATTATTATTATTACTTTTGGTTTCACCAACGGACACTAGGGAGTGCTAAAACAAGCCTAAACTGGCAAGTGTTCCTTTAACAGGAGTCATCCTGTGGTAAATTCAGTTGATTGGACATGACCAATATAAGATCCTTGACAGTACATGTCAGAGCATAAAACAATCAAAAACTCAAAGAAATTGTCTGTAGAAGAACCATCATCAAATTATTGAGCAAAGGCTGTGAATACTTGTGTAAATTTGATTTCTAAGTTATTTTTATTCATAATAAGTTTGCAAAAAACTAACAGATAAACTTTTTTGCCATTATAGGATGATTTTTATTGAATTTTTTGGGAAAAAAGTTTAATCCATTTTGAAAAAAAGCTGGAACAAAGCTAAATGTGGAGAAAGTTATGTAGTGTGAGTAATTTCAGGATGTACTGCTTAAGAACTCCTTTATTGTTACAAGCACTTGCTGCTTTGAAAGTGACACACTGTAGTCTGCAAGTTTTTCTCATATTGGACGTATTTTTCTTTTTCAGGCGTTTCATTGGGATTAACCCAGAGAGAGGCACAAAATCCTACCAAGGAAAGGTGGTGTCCAAAAAGACAGGGAAGGCCGTCCAAAAGAAACTGCAGACAGTGAATGCGCACGTTTCTACCCTGATAAAAAATCTTATGGACTTTGAGTGGCACTTCATACAGGTTTGTTGTTGTTGTTTATTTTATGTTTCTAAAAGACTCATATTCTAATAATATTGTTCTTATTTTTTTCCCTTCTGAATGGCTTCCTCATCCACACCCAAAAAGTAAGTGACACTCCTGTTAACAAAGTCATTGTTGACTATTTATAATCCTGTTCAGGATAATAAAGCATGTTTTTCTGTAGCCATGTTAAAATGTTATGGTTGGGTACTTATCATTTACCCAGTGATTCAGCAAAGCATTTGTACTAGGTCATTTTCTTTAGAGTTTTTATTTTTTTGGATCTTAGAATTGTTAAAACTGATTATGTAAAAGACTGCAATCTGCACTTTTTTTTCTTTTTATTGAATCTTAATTGCAGCCATGGACATTTTATTTGTTATGTGGCCAGTTTTTTAACTATTCCCTGCCATGGAAATGCATGTTTCTAATTTAATTTGTAAGAACAAAACTGCGTATGGTTTATTGTTGCATATTGGTTTATAAATAAACATTCAGACCTATGTTCTTCATGTCATCCTCTTTTTTTTTTTGTTTCATAGAGCTTACACGTTTTGAAAACTGCACCAATAACTTTTTTGTGGGTCATTTCTTTTTGTGTTACACCCTGTGCCAGAAAACATTTTTACTATTTTAGTGGTTGTATAGTTGCACTGTATTTTCGCAGATATTTACTTATAAAGTAAATTCAGAAATTGAAACTCATTACAGTAACATTCTGACAGCAACAGACGCCAGTATGTAACTATAAATTTATTTGTTCACTACAACAATTACTTTAACGGTAAAATACTTTAAAACTGTTACAGCATTGAAAATGTAAATTAACAGTAGAATGCTGGCAGCTACAGACGCCAGCATTTTACTGTTAATCCACAGCAACTGTACTGTAAATTACTCACACAGTAACTTACTGTTAAAGTGAATACAGTACCTGTACTGTATTCACTTTAACAGTAAGTTACTATAAAAGTAACTTACAGTATAGTTACTGTAAAAAACAGTAAAATGCTGGCGTCTGTAGCTGCCAGTATTCTACTGTTTTTTTACATACATTTTTTCTTAGAGTGTGACTCCTGTCGATATGGAGGAGCATCAGCTCAACTCTGAGTCTCTCTTGATGTCCAAGCTCCTCAACCTATCCCTTAGGCTGAGCCCAGCCACCCCATGGAGAAAACTCATTTCGGTCGCTTGTATCTGCAGTCTTGCACTTTCGGTCATTACCCAAAGGTCATGACCATAGATGAGGACTGGGCGGTAGATCGACTGGTAAATTGAGAGCCTTGCTTTCTGGCTCAGTTCCTTCTTCACCACAACAGACCGGTTCAGCATCCGCATCACTGCAGATGTTACCCCAATCGGCCTGTCAAACTCCTGCTCCCTCCTTCCATCACTTGTGAACAAGACCCCAAGATACTTGAACTCCTCTACTTGAGGCACGACCTCTCCTGACCCAGAGTTGGCAAGACGCCCTTTTCCGGTCGAGAACCATGGTATCAGACTTAGAAGTGCTGATCGTCATCCCAGCAGCTTTATACTCGGCTGCGAACCTTCCCAGCAGAGTTGTAGGTCAGAGCCTGATGAAGCTAGGAGAACCACATCATCCGCTAGGGATGTCCCGATCAGGTTTTATTGCCCTCGAGTCCGAGTCATTTGATTTTGAGAATCTGCCAATACCCAGTCCCGATCCGATACTTTTGATACATATAAAAAAAAAGAAAAGGAAGAAACAGTTCCAGAATGCTCCTTATTGTTTATTTATTTACCTTTTTAATTTAATTTTTAACAACAGATCACTTTCTGTGAGGTAGCTTGAACAATCAAGTAATAAATAACATAAACTCTTCACTTTTGGACTTTCTGATCATGTAATCCTATCTTCCTGTCCTGTTTGTCTCTGCTCTTCCTGCATCTCCCAGTCCTCCAGAAAAACTCCTGCCTGCTTCCTTCTTTTTCACCTCACAAATAACTTTTATTACTAGCAGATCAAATTGATCTATTGACCACAAAAAAAGCAGAGTGTGCGCTGCGCTGCCCGGCTGAGCCAGTGACGAGCGCTGCAGCGCGAGCGCGTCCACACGTCGTGCTCAAATACAGACAGAACTTACCAGAGAGAAAATGAACGGACACTAATGACTGTGTGACGCCACTTAGAAACTTAGAAAATGTTACTGTGGCCGTGTGCAGAACGCAGCTGGAGTTCATGAATAATCAACGGTCTGCCTGCCGCTCTGCTCAAAAGAATCCCCGCTACGCTGAGTCCATATAAATAATATAATATACGTAGAAACTGGATCTCTTTTGTGCTCCTTCTGGGTGTGTAAGTTAAGGGCATCAGGGGAGCCTGACAACCTTTAAGGAGAACCAAGTTGCTCTCCTGTAATTTGAACCCAGTATCCGACTCCGAATCGGGGCTTGGATCGGGAAGTAAAGCCCGAGTCCCGATCAGTCTGAAACCACATGATCAGGGCTGATTTCTGATCATGTAATTGGATCGGGACATCCCTATCATCCTCATAAACCCAAGATGAGATTCTCCTGCCACCAAACTCTTTTATTTTGAAGGCCGCTAACAGGATGTGATGTGTGCAGTAGGGGTTGTAGAATTTTTTTTTTTAAGTTGACAGTCAAGTAATGAAAATCAAGTTAACTTCGACTAGTCGTTGATGACGTCATACACCTGAAGCGGCGGGGGGGGGGGGGGGGGGGGGGGGTCTGTAAGTTCGCTGGAGCTTTTGACAATTAAAATTGCGCCCACATTTTCTAAGTTAACACATCTCTTTTAACAACGGTAGTTTTTGCATCCTGCTTCAGTCCTCTCCCCCTCCCCCTGCGCAGCAGCAGCAAACTGATACACCTGCAGCCTCTCGGCGTTCCTGCTGCTCATTAAAACACATTAAAATAATTATTTCATTTTCTGTTCATCACTTCTGATTACCTTCAATGGCGTCTGTTTGTTGCAACCACCAGGTACAAAAGCAAACTTGTTTTTATTTGACTATTTTTCTGTCCTGCCTGTTTATTATCTTCCTGCATCTCCTCTCAATCCTAAAGAGAAACTGCTACCTGGGTTCATATATATTCTTCTTATGAGTTACCTTTGAACCGCAATTCTAAAAGATCTACCGACCACAAAAACAGCGGAGTGCCGCTGCTCGCCGGCCGTTTTTGCTGCAGAGTTCGTGCTGGAGCGGAGCGGAGATAGTGGAATCTTGGGGGTGCGTCACCAGAGAACAAAACAGGTGAAGAGCCTCGCTCCGCAGCAGCGAAACGCATCAGGCACAAATAACAGACAGAAAACATGAAAGGAAATGAGCCGACATGAACGATCGCGTGCTAAATTTGTTTTTGAGGTGGTGACACCTGATTTGGCGGTGCTCAGGACGCAGATTGAGCGCGTCAACGATCAGAGCTTTGCATGCGCAAACTGGTTAAGATTAGGATGGGGGTGAGGGGAAGGTAAAATTGCAAGAGGGAAAAGGTCACAGTTTGGATAAATGTCCGTTTTACCGCCGGTGTCAGTACCGACGCTCTGGCACAGCGTGTCGCCTCCGCCTCCCGACGCAGGGGCTCATCACCTGCTGGAGGACTGCATCTTGTCAGTCATTATCACGTGACAGCGACTAGTCGATGACAGGCATAAAAAGTCACTACAGGGAGAAACTATTGAACATGTTTTTGTTGATTACTTTCATGTAACTTTGTTTTGGTTCCATTTACAAAGATACATTTCCAGAAAGTTACAAAAAATGTTTCTTTAAGCAAATATGAAATACTTCTCATTGTTACTAACCCTCATTTATCATCCAATGAAAAATACATAATTAACTTAGTCATTATTTTAGCAAAATATTATTTACGTAAAATGATTTTTCAGAAAAGTATCCCCTCCTTCTATAATTTCAGAATTACAGACCTTATGAAATATTGGAACAGCATTGAAAAATAAAAAAAAAGAACAATAAACTAACAAAGACCATCAACTTATTTCATCATTTCAACTTAGACACAGCAGACCCCTAAGTGTTATGTTTCTAAGTTATATATGTTTTCGTCAATCTTTTGTTTATTTCTTGTTTTTTGTTTAATAGTTTCCTAATGTTGCATGTATGTTATTGCAATTGTAAAAAACTGTAAAATGTGATCCATGAATGTATTTTCTGAATGTATTGACAACAAGTTAATAAAACCTGTTTAAAAAAAATAAAAATAAAATATTTTGTCTAAAAAACCACCAGCGGAAGTTGTGTATGAGAGCCAGGTGTGTTTTATTCTGCTCCAGCAGGTGGCGGTAGTGCACCTTTACGCTGGTCATCGACCACCGGAAAAAGCAGAAACCGGAAGCTGCTAGCAGAGCTAGCTTGTTGTTGTTGTGGTGTGTGAGGAGAACATTTGAGGCTCTGCAGTAAAAACGTCTTCACTTCAGTCTCTGGGAGAGTTGATCAGCTAAAGCGACTAACTGCTGCTGCTGCTGCAGAAATCTTCTCACCAGGCGGTGGAAACTTTCTTCTCCTCCTCAACAACTTGGCGGAGTTCTTTCCAGAACCAGAGAAGATATTCTGCGGTCTTCGTGACAATCGGAGCTCCAGAATCAGGTTGTGGGTGAGAAAAGCTTTTCTCTAGACTTTCTGCCCTCTGGATCTGCTGCTGTTCCTTTGGCCAGAACCAAAGCGTTGGATCTTTAATCTCCTGCGTTGTTCTGAAGCAGCATCTTAATCAGCTCTCCTGCTTTGTTTCTATTGCAGCTGTTAGCTAAACACGGCTAAAGAAAACCTGCTACCACTTCAGGATCATCCATCAGCTGAGACGGATTCATCGTGTGTTCACCACCTGGACCTGGACAGCATGGACACAGGTACTGGTGGATGAATGAATATATTGTCAGTCTATTGTAACCCTGGCGTCAGATTAAGTTACCACTTATTCAAAAAATAATAATAAATAGGCCAGACTCTAGGTCCAACAGGATTACCGTAAATCCTCTAATACAGGCCGGTATTCAGTTAAAGGCCGGGTCTCCAATTTTGGCCGGTGTCGGAGTCAGCGGAGGTAAATAATGGCCGGTCTCTTATTGTGGCCGGATGGAATGTGGTAACAAGCAAGTACGAGCGTTCCAGCGGCAGGGTTATAGTTCCCAAATCAACCAGCAGGAGGCAGTAGGGGTTCACGCAGACCTTTATAAGGCTTTTTTTCAACGCTTTGTAACGCTACAGACATGATCCTCTATCACGCTCCTACCACACAGAGTCACAGTGTCAGTTAACCATGCTAATTCAATCCGCTCCACAGAACACACATCACCTTCCCTGTGGCTTACATAACACTCACACAACACGCAAATCAGCACATAGGAACTAGCAGAACGATAGGAAACACATATAACACAATACCCAGAATGCACCTGGCTTACAACCCCAGCCAGGTCATTACACTATCAAGTTCAAAGAGAACGTGCTGATTATGCTGCAGAACACTCTGGAGAGCAGCAGTAGGGGGTGTATGAACTACAGTAATCCCTCCGCGGTAGATGTGTTCCAGACCTGGCCGCGATAGGTGAAAATCCGCGAAGTAGGGACTCCCAGCATGCCCCTCGCGGGGATTCCCTCCACGTCGCACCTACGTCACAAACCGCGGCTATAAACCAAACGGAAGTCGCCTTTCCAGCTCACCACTCAGTCATCGTTTCTTCAGATTCATGATCAGAGTTTCCAACCTACCAATCAATCCAACGAACTATCAGCTCATAGTAAGTTATCTTACTTCTGGAAAGCCCGGCATTTCCGTGTCACTTCGTTGACACTCGAACGCTCGGGGGTTTCCTAGAGCATCCGGCGTTTCACAGACGCTTATCACTTCCGCGTCTGTGAAACCACGCTCCCTATTGAATTATCGTATGATCACATTCTCTGTGATCAGCAACGCGCTGTGCCAGACCTTAGCTACTGACACGCGATCGTTCATGTCGGTTCATTTCTTTTAATGTTTTCTGTCTTTTATTTGCGCCTGATGTGTATCGCTGCTGTGGAGCGGGGCGCATCACCTTGTCCTCCGACGCACAGATCCATGATGCGGCCGGCAAGCAGGGAGCGCTCAGCTGTTTTCGCGGTCGGTAGATCTGCCTCCTGAGCACGGCCACAGTAACAATCAGGTGTCGCCACCTCAAAAACTAATTTAACACGCGATCGTTCATGTCAGTTCATTTACTTTAATGTTTTCTGTCTTTTATTTGCGCCTGATGCGTTTCGCTGCATGCTGTGGAGCGGGGCGCTGCGGGCATCACCTTGTCCTCCGACGCACTGATCACTGATACGGCCGCCAAACAGCGAGCGCTCCGCTGTTTTTGCGGTCGGTAGATGTTTTAGAACTGCAGTTCAAAGGTAACTCATGAGGTGAATATATATGAACCCAGGTAGCAGTTTTTCTTTAGGATTGAGAGGAGATGCAGGAAGATAATAAACAGACAGGACAGAAAAATATTCAAATAAAAACAAGTTAGTTTTTGTACCTGGTGGTTGCAACAAACAGACACCATTGAAGGTAATCAGAAGTGAGGAACAGAAAATGAAATAATTATTTTAATGTTTAGAGCAGCAGGAACTCCGAGAGGCTGCAGGTGCATCAGTGAGTTTGCGGCTGCTGCGCAGGGGGAGGGGGGAGAGGGCTGAAGCAGAAACTACCGTTGTTAAAAGAAATGTGTTTAACTTTGAAAATGTGGGCGCAATTTTAATTGTCAAAGACTCCAGCGAACCATTAGTTCATTTTGCTCAAATAGAAATAGAGGCCTGCCTCTAATACTGGCCCTCCTTCCAATAAAGGCCTGGAGCTTGATGAGCTTGAGTCAAATACAGGCCCGGGCCTGTATTAGAGGATTTACGGTACCTTACAAATTACCAGTGAGTGGGAAATGGAATAGCTGGATCCAAAGAATGAGCAAAAAAACACAGTTGCACCAGATTTGTAATTTTATATAGATATATGAAAATAGAACAAAATATACTGCAGCTGCAATAGACATATAATTAAACAATTAGGCCTTTCCCCCTATATCAGTAAACCTAGTCAGGCTGAGCTCAAAGTCAGTCTTCTATTTGGTCGTAGTCGAGTCAAAAAGAAAGTCTCCTCGGTCTTGTAAAACTCAGGTTCAGTGGTCTGAGTGGTTACCACTGGAATGTTGGCTCAGTATAGAAGAATGATGTTCTCCTGATCGGGATACAGTTCAGTTCGGGCACAGGCTCGCCATCTCCATCCGGAGAGAATCCAGGACTCCAATCCACTTCAGTCCCGTACCGAGCATAAAAACCTAGCCTGCACAACAATAATGCAATTATTGTTTACAGCTAAATAAAATTCTCATCTCTTATTCTCACAGCTATAGCTTTTACAATCTTTTCTTTCTTCATCCTTCAAATTACCATAGTAAGAATTTACATGCATGTTCATTTATTTTCTCAAAATACATTTTGGCAATACATGAAACATGTTTTTAACTCGCTTAACTAATAGTTTGAATCTTTTAGTAGAAGAAAGAAAGTAGCTGATGGGGGTCAGAAATGTTGCCAGATTAGTCGCTAGGCGCTATTTTGAGAGAAAAAAGTCGTTAAGGGGGTCTGAAAAGTCGTTAGAAATGGCGACAAAGTCGCTAAGTTGGCAACACTGCAAGCTGCAAAAACGCACATGCTCATTGCTCGCTCCCGCGGTGCGCACAAACACAATTCAATTTAATTCAATTTTATTTATAAAGCGCCAAATTACGACAAGAGTCGTCTCAAGGCACTTCACATAATAAACATTCCAATTCAGGTCAGTTCATTAAGCCAATCAGAAAAAAATTTGTCCTATATAAGGAACCCAGCAAATTGCATCCTTTACAGCAATCCTCATACTAAGCAAGCATATAGCGACAGTGGAGAGGAAAACTCCCTTTTAACAGGAAGAAACCTCCAGAGAATCCCGGCTCAGTATAAGCAGCCATCTACCATGACTCACTGGGGATCGAGAAGACCGAGCACACACACACACGCACGCACGCACGCACACACACACACACACACACACGTGTATATATGGTTTATGAAGCCACTATGACTTTTTGGTGGTTTATGAGGACACACCTTTCCCTGCATCTGGTGAACACGAAAAAGTATGTCAAAAATTTTGATTTTACCCAAAAAAGAAAAGTCTCACTTCAAAATGAGGAAAAACATATCAGAACATACATACATTTCACATATGAATTTCCACAGGCTTATGAGGACTTGACAACCTGGTGGTTTATGGAGACAATTAGGGTTTATGAGGTCTGATTACAAAAATATACAATTCTGACTGTTTCATGGTTTAAGGGGACATTTAAACATTATGAGACCAGTATACACATTTATATATAACATTCAAAATATCAAGGAATCAAAGAGGAAATAGGGTTTTTTGGGGGGAGTCAAGGCCTCAGATGTATTTTTTCTTTTGGCCAGCTCATTATTCCTGACAGATATCTGATTACTAGCAGGGCGTAGCTGTTTATTTCCCAAATCTTGTTTTTGCCCTTGAGCTGATTTCTTAGTACTTGCCTTATTTGTTTTAAGTATTTGGTTGTGGCTTATTTCCTTGCAGCCTCATCGAGGTTGCCATTTGCTTACTGGACACCAAGGAATTTGTAGCTGTCCTCAAGGTCTGATTTTGTTCCTTCAGGGAGTGTGACCCCCTCCTGTATCTATTATCTTCTCTTCCTTTGTCAACATTCGACCACACTTCTCAAGTCCAGGTGACATTCCAATATCAGTGCTGTAGATCCTGGTGGTGTGGATTAGTGAGTCAATGTCTCGCTCGCTCTTGATATACAGTTTTATGTCATCTATGTAGAGGAGGTGGCTAATTGTGGTTCCATTTTTGAGTGAGTATGTCAGATTTATTCATGGCACAATAACTTTATTTAAAGGATATCAGGATTGGATAGGATAGCTTGTTGATGGCTTGTTGTGTATAAAAAGCAGCTAGGGGCTCACAGAGTGTACAAACCTTGTCAAGTTAACACTCAACACAGCTACAAGGACTAAACAAGAAAGTCATATTGACATATTATGACCTTTTTTGTAGAAGTTATTAAAGAGATGAATACATGCAAGGGGCCCTAAAGCAAAATTAAGACTTTAATTACCAACAATTTGCAAACATTTCTTTGAGAGACTGTAACATCTGTTGTGTTTAATTTGGTGAAAATCAGTGTGTATGATGAAATTACAGCCAATTGTAAGGCCACGGCTTGCCATCCGATTTTGCCGTGCCACCACAACCCCATTCTCTCTTGAAATATCTCATTACTGAATGCTACATTACACCAGCATGTCTTCTGTCACTGGGCAGTGTCTCATGTTGATTCTATACAAAGGGTCAAAGTTGGACCTTTTAGAATAAAACAATAAACTTCCTGTTGTCAGGGGTAGTGGCTTTGGTGATGGCAGGAAATGACACCGTCATTGTTTTGAGAATTGAGATGACACACACTAAGTTGGATATAGCTCTGATCATTTCTCTGCAAGTTAATAAACCAAGGACTTTAATGTAAAAAAATCAATATTTGAGACTAAGCCCAAACTACACCATTAGTCCTTTTGAAAACTATTTAGACAACTTTTGATTCCCAATGACTTATCAATTTTTGGTCATAGGCCTAAAGCCCTAGGACAAGTTAGTTAAAATATAATATGTGTTAAAATGACAAAATGGCATCATCTGACCAAAATGACTAACTTCCTGTTGGTCTTGAAACATGGTTTCAGGAGACTTTTTTTTAAGTCTCAAGACACATCATGAATGTACCAAATATCATAATCCTCAGTCATAGCATGACATAGAGCT